TATATATATATGTATATATATATATAATATTCATATATATATATATACATATATATATATATATATATATATATATATATATATATATATTATATATATATATATGTATATATATATATATATATATATATATATATATATATATATATATATATATATATATATATATATATATATATATGTATATATATATATATATATATATATATATATATATATATATATATATATATATATGTATATATATATATGTGTGTATATATATATATATATATATATATATATATATATATATATATATATATATATATATATATATATACATATATATATTATATATATATTATATATATACTATGTTTATATATTTATATTATATGTATATATATGTATATACTATATATATATATATGTATATATATATATATATATATATATATATATATATATATATATGTATATATATATATATATATATATATATATATATATATATATATATATATATATATATATATATATATATATATATATATATGTGTATATATATATATGTGTGTATATATATATATATATATATATATATATATATATATATATATAATATATATATATTATATATATATACCATCTCATCTTTCTATATATCTTATATCGATATCCTATGTTTCTATATTATATATATATGTATCTAATTGGGTCTCTAATATCTATATACTATATATATATATCATATATATCTATCATCTATCTATATACATATCTATTATATATTTATATATCCCTATCTGATCTATATATATATATATATCTATATTTATATATATCTTATACATTATATCTCTATATATATATATCTACATCTCTATCCCTCTATCTCTATACATATATATATCTAAATATACTAATACTCTATATATACTATAATACTCTTAATACCTATATCTATCTCGATATATATTATATATATCACTATTAGAGTATAATACATCTATATCTCTATCTATCTTAATATATATATCTATCTCACATCTATTACATATACTATATATATATCACTATATATATATATATATCTATATCTATATATCTATATATATATCTATCTATAATATATATACATATGTATATCTAAATCATAATAATATATATGTATATCTACATATATATATATATATATATTATATATTATCTTATGTTCTTATATGATATATATTATATATAATTATATATATATACTATATACCATAATATATATTATATATATATACTCTCTATATGTATATCTATGTATCTCCTATATATATCTATCTATTCTATATATATATTATATATATCTATATATATTATATTATATATATATTATATATAATATATATATATACATCTATCTTATATCTATTCTCTATACCTAATATATATATATATAGATCTATCTCTATATATCTCTATCATCTCTCATGTCTCATACTATCTATTATATCATATACCTATCTTATACTATATAGTATATATATATATTATCTATATATATCTATATATATATATAGTCATATATATAATATATTCAACATCTACTATCTCTATAGATATATATATATATATATATATATATATATATCTATATATCCTCTATCTCTATCTCTATCTATATGTATATATCATATATTATTACTATATATTATATATATTTATATAATATATAATATATTATATATCATAATTATCTATAGCTAGTATCCTATATATAATATACTCTATATTCTATATATATATATATCATATCTATATATATATCATACTATCTATATATATATCAGTTATATTATCTCTATATATATGTTATGGGACGAAAATCATATATCATATATATCATAATCTCTATCTCTATCTATCTATCTATATGTCTATATATATATATCCTCTCTATATATATAATCTCATATATATCTATACTCTCTCTATACTATATCATATACATATCTCTATCTATATATATATCTATCTATATATTCTCTCTCTATCTATATATATCATATATATATTATATATATAGTTATATATGTCTATCATATATATATATATATCTATATATATATCTCTAGACTCTACTCTATCTCTCTATCTATATCATATCTATATATACCTATATCTACTATCTATTCTACTCTCACATATCTCTCTCTATATCTATATCATAGTATCTATATCATATCTATCTAGCTAGCGCTCTATATATACTCTCTCTATCTTCCACTATTACATATATATATCCTAATATTATTATATATATATCATATATTAGAACTATATCTACATATCTCTATCTCTATCTCCTCTCTATAGCTCTATATAGTTATATATATCTATATATATATATATATATCTCTATTATATTATCGTATATATATATATATGTATCTCTCTCTATAGTATATCTCCCTATACTCTTACCATCTAATATATATATATATATCTATACTATCTATCTATATATAATTCTCTCTATCTATCTCTCTTATATCTATATATTATATATATATAGATGTATACTCTCGATATATCTCATCTCTTGTATATATACATATATATATTATAGCTCTATTATATATATATCTTCTGTTTATCTATTATTCATCTATCTATATATCTTCTCTCTATATATTATATATATCTTTCTCTACTACTCTCTCTGTATCCTCTCTGTATCCTAATCTATATATATCTTTCTATATTATACTATCTATTCATATCTCATCTCATCTAATATATATATACTACCTATCTGCTTATATATATTTACATATATCACATCCACTATTACTATTAATAATATCATATATATATATATATATACTAATAGCTCTCTCTCTATCTATCTATATACATACTATCTATATCTATATATATATATCTTCTCTATATATATTATCTTATATATACCATATATATAGTATATATATCTATATCTCGATATTACTATATATATATCTATATATCTATATCTCTCTGTATATATACCATATCTATTCTATCTAATTATTCTCTTCTATATCTATCTAATATATATAAATCTCTATATCTATATATCTATATATCTAATATCTCATCTATCTAAATATTATCTCTCTGTATTATATCTATATACTATTATATCTATATATATATCTCTCTATACTTCTATATCTATATATTATATTATCTATACTATATATATATATATATATATATATATATATATATATATATATATATATGTATATATATATATATATATATATATATATATATATATATATATATATATATATATAATATACATATATATATATATATATATATATATATATATATATATATATATATATATATATATATATATATATATGTATATATATATATATATATATATATATATATATATATATATGAATATTATATATATATATATATATATATATATATATATATATATATATATATATATATATATATATATATATATATATAAGTGTATATATATATATTATATACATATATTATGTATATATAATATAAATATATATACTATATATATATATATATATATATATATATATATATATATATATATATATATACATATATATACATATATATATATACATATATATATATATATATATATATATATATATATATATATATATATATATATATATGTATATATATATATATATATATATATATATATATATATATATATATATATATATATATATATATATATATATATATATGTATATATATATGTATATTATATATGTATATATATTCTATTTAAATAGGTGTATATATATATATATATATATATATATATATATATATATATATATATATATATATATATATATATATATAATATATATATATATATATATATATATATATATATATATATATTATATATACATAATATATATATATATTATATATACATAATATATATGTAATATATATATACCACAGTACATCTGACACTGAATTGCAAAATTAATTTCCAGCGAGTACCTACGTGAAGTGTGTGTAAAACTCATTACTCTAGTTTGAGTAGATAGGTCATGTCTATGGAGCTAGTGAGATCCTAGTTGCTCTTTTTAGTGGGTTGTGCGGGAATCTTGGTTTATTACTGGCCGTACTTTTACTTATTTTAGTTATGTATTGTCCAATACATAACTTGTTTTATTGCCTTATTTTTTGTTTTAAAGCTTTCAAACCTCATTTTTATGTTCCCTTTTAGTTTTGTCAAGCTTTTTTGCTTATTTTATGTGTATGTTGTCATCGTTTTATTGCTTTATTTCTAGTTTTCAAGGTTGTTGTATATATACTTTCTCCCAAAACATTGGCTTGAAAATGTGTAATCCGAGACATTGCCTGAATGAATATAATGGTCCCAGCCCTGGTGTTTATCTTCATCGTATATATGAAAAAGATATTTTACGCCAAACTTGCACCTGACCTTGGCGAGATATTTGTATTGTTCTGGGTGACTTCAGTGCAGTATCTGGCTTCAACTGAGCTGGCTATGAGATGTCTTTTGTTCATCATGGCTCAGGAGTTGGCATTGAGAATAGTTTCCATTTCTGGAACTTTGCTAGGTCCCAGAAATAGAGAATTTCTGGCTCCTGGTATCAGCGTTCTGACCCGCATCGTTGAACTTGGTACAGAGATACGGTAATGTGGCCAAGGAAATCGACATCCTCGTCAGCACTCGCTAGAGGATCCTCCAGAACTGCAGAGTGTATTGAAGTGCTGAGTTGTGTGGAACTGATCATAGATTAGTTGTGTCTATTCTCCAGGTCCACTTCAGAACCCCCTATCGTTCTAATGAACATCTTAGGATGTTTCATGTGGACAGACTGTCATGTGTCTGGGGGTTTACTGAAGCTATCTCTGGTCGTTTCATAGCACTCAGGTGCCTGACGGACCCTGTTCTTCTGTAGGACACCTTCAAGCATAAGATGCTTGATGTGGCCCAAGAACTGATTGGTGAATGCCCAAGAACAAGACAGAATTTCATCTCGCAGGAAACACTGGAATCCACAGATGCGTGTCGCACGGCTCGACTGTCAGGTGATCATGACTTGCATTGTTCCCTGGTGCGCAGGATCTAGGTCACTGCTGAGAATGGACAAGGAATAGTTTATCAGGAATCTTGCAGAGGAGGTCGAAGGCCATTTCCTATAGTAAATGACCTTCATCCTGCTTACCAAGCCCTGGGAAAGAAGAACTCCAAGCCGTCCTCAACAAGTGGCCAGATAATCCCAAATCCTGTTGGGGTGCAGGTATGTTAGGCTGAGTATTTAGAGTATTGTACCAGGTTGATTCACCAGCAGTCAACTTTGATATGGGTAGTGTCGAGATTCCTTTGCCAGATACACCCATCAGCGAGTATCCACCCTCCCTGACTGAAGTCAGGGGGTGATCTCCAAGCTGAAGAGTAGTAAAGCAGTAAGTATCTGCAGCAACCCAGATGAACTGTTAAAAGTTGATGGAGAACCTATGGCAAGTGGCTTGCATGCAGTCCTGTCTGCCATCTGGCAGACTGGTACCATTCCCCCTGACCTGCTGATGGGTGTGGTCATCCCTCTCTGGTAGGGGAAAGGGGATTGGTGGAACTGCAGCAGTTACTGAGGCATTACACTACTCTGTATACCGGGAAAGATTCTCCCTCACATCCTTCTGTGGCCATTCAGAGATCAACTGCTGAGGCACCAGAGACTGGAGTAATCTGGATTCACTCCTAGTAAGTCCACAATAGACTGCATCCTGGCACTTCAAGTCATTGTAGAGCGCCGTTGAAAGTTCGTACGTGGGCTGCTTGCAGCTTACATCGACCTCAAGAAGGTGTTTGATGCTGTGGATTGCGGTTCACTCTGGGAGATCCTGGGACTAAGAGGAATTCCAACAAGGATTATTAGATTAATAGCAAGCCTTTATACTGGTACTGAAAGAGCTGTAAAGTGTGGTGGGGGCCTGTCGAGCTTCTTCCCTGTTAGATTAGTGTGGTAAGCTGTGTTCTTGCACCAATACTTTTCAACACTTGCATGGACTGGATACTGGGTAGAGCTACTGTGGAGCTACTGTCTTTGTGGAGTAACTCTAGGCAATATCAAGGTTACAGACCTTGACTTTGCTGATGATGTTGCTATTCTATCTGAATCTCTGGAAAACCCTAGTGGCAGCTTTTGATGCAGTCAGTACATGGTTGCGGTGAGAACATCGAGGTAACAGAAAGCTTTATATACGTCAGTTATGTCATTAATGACTCCGGGCTGTCAGACCAGGAAGTCAGTAGATGGATTGGCCTGGCAGCAGGGGTCATGAAATTTGGAGATGCCGGTACCCGTGCAGAAAAAAAACCAAGCTACGTGTCTTGAAGGCCTTGATACTGCCAGTTTTACGATATGGTAGTGAAACCTGGACGCTATTTTGTGCTTTGGCATTTCGTCTTGATACCTTTTTTAACAGATCCTTGTGCCGGATCATGGGATACAGTAGGCAGGACCATGTGTCCAATCAACGGTTGCACCATGGAACTAGTACAACACCTGTTACTTGCATAATCCGCTGAAGTTGGCGCTCTCGTATCAGACTGGTAATAGGTCTTGAATCAGTTTCACGGAGTATCCTCTGATTGGACACATGATCCCTTCAGGTATACCCCATGATTCTGCGAAAACACTTAGTACCAAAGGAGTCAAGACAGGCCTTCAGAGCATTGTTCATTGTAAAGGTCTCGCACCCATTGTAATGGTCTCGCATATATATATATACATATATATTGTATATATATATATATATATATATATATATATATATATATATATATATATATATATATATATATATATATATATATATTGTATATTTGTATATATATATTGTATATTTGTATATATATATATTGTATATTTGTATATATATATGTATATATATATATATATATATATATATATATATATATATATATATATATATATTATATATATGTATATATATATATTATATATATATTATATATATATATATATATATATATATATATATATATATATATATATATATATATATGTATATATATATATATATATATCGCTCATTCATTTCAACAATGACATAACTCAAAAAAGGATACTTTTCAGGAGAAGCAAAATAAACTTTTAATATGTAATACAGTCTTCCATGTAAGTTTTAAAAGAGGTATTTAGCAATGAAGTTTTATTCAGGATTCAATGTAGTGCATGACATCAAATATAATAAAATACACTTAACTGAAATAAAACGCTATGCCAACTAAACGATTCGTCTGAAAGAAAATGAGTCACTATGCCTTGAGCGACATATAATGGACAATTTTGATACTAGAGTTATGGCGTTCTTACCACAAATAAATATAGAAAATGACAAATTCAGTGATATAACTAACTCAAAATCTTCAATTTTTGAGTTATGTCACTG